GACACCTACAGCTAGAGCAAACAACAAACACAGCCTAATTCCTAGGCAGCTAAACATAAAACTTCACTTTAAAGACCTAATTACTGCAATTCCTTTTACGTGATACATCACACAGAACTTTCAACAAAAAAATTACAAGGCATGCTAAACTGCAAAATACAAAGTTTAAAGAGACAAAACAAGCATCAGAACCAAACTCAGATATGTTGGAGACTTTGGAATTATCAGATTGGGAACTTAAAATAACTATGATTAATATGCTAAGGGCTCTAATGGAAAAAATGGACAACATCAACATGGGTTATTAAACAGGGAGATAAAAAACCCAAGAAAAAATCAAAAGGCAATGCTAGAAATCAAAAACACAAGAATACAAATAAAGAATGTCTTTGATGGGCTCATCAATAGACTGGAAACAGCCAAGGAAAGAATAAGTGAGCTTGAAGATACATCAACAGAAACGTCCCAAACTAGAAAGAAAAAAGAATGAAAAAAGCAGAACAGAATATCCAAGAACTGTGGTACAATTAGAAAAAGTGTAATGTACACACAATGGGAATACCAGAGAGCACAAAACAGAAGAAATATTTGAAATAATAATGGCCGATAATTTTCAAAAATTAAAGACAAATACCAAACCATTAATCCAGGAAGCTTACAAAACACCAAGCAGGATAAATACCAAAAAATATATACCTAGGCATATCATTTTCCAACTGTAGAAAATCAAAAACAAAGAGAACATCTTGAAAGAAGTCAAACGAAAAAAAGCACCTTACCTACAGAGGAACAGGATAAGAATTATATTAGACTTCTCTTCAGAAAGCATGCAAGCAAGTAAAGTGGAGTGAAATATTTAAAGTGATGAAAGAAAAAAAAACCCACCATTCTAGAAGTCTGTATCCCAGGAAGTTATCCTTTAAAAGTCAAGGTGAAATAAGATTTTCTCAGACAAACAAACATAGAGGGAATGTATTGCCAGTGAACCTGTCTTACAAAAAATGTTCAAAGAAGTTCTTTACAGAGAAGAAAAATGATAGAGGTCAGAAACTCAGAACTACGTGAAGAAAGGAAGAGTGTTAGAGAAGGAATAAATGAAGGTAAAACAAAATCCTTTATTTTTCTTATTCTTAATTGATTTAACAGATAAAAACTTGTTCATAATAATAATGGCAATAAGGTATTCAGTGATTATAGCTTATGGATAAGGAAAATGAATGACAGCAATATTATAAAAGGCAGGAGGGAAGAATTAGAAATACTCTGTTATAAGGTATCTGCACTACCAGTGAAGAGGTATCGTGTTACTTGAAAGTAGACTTAGATTAGTTGTAAATGTATATTGAAAGTTCTAAGGCAACCACTAAAAAAATTTTAAAAGAAATATAATTGATATGCTAAAGTGGAGAGAAAATGGAATCATATAAAATGCTCAATTAAAACTAGAGAAGGTAGAAAAAGATAAAAGACAAAAAAGAAACAAAACACAAAGGCAATAAATAGAAAATAGTTACAAATATGGTAGGCAATAAACCAATTATGTCAATAACCATTTTAAGGTGAAAGGTCTACATACACCTATTAAAAGACAGAGACTGTCAGAGGGGATAAAAAAACAAGACCCAAATATATATTGTCTACAAGAAACCCACTTTAAATATAAAGACACAGATAAAAGTAAAGAGATGAAGAAAGATATACCATGTAAACACTAATCAAAAGAAAGCTGGAGTAGCTACATGAATTTCAGACAAAGCACTTTGACAAGGAAAATTATCAGAGATAAAGAGTGACATTACATAATGATAAAGGGGTCACTTCTCCAAGAAGACATAAAAGTCCTTAATGTGTAAGCATCCAACAACAGTGTCAAAACATGAGACAAAAACTGACAGGACACAAGGAGAAACAGACGAATCCACTATTACAGCTGGAGACCCCAGCACAACCTCTATCAACGACTGACAGATCAAGCAAGCAGTAAGGAAGTAAGGATATACTTGAGCTGAACTGTACCATTAATCAACTGCATCTAATGGACATCTATGGAATCCTTGATGCAACAACAGCAGAATACACATTCTTCTCAAGCTCACATGAAACACTACCAAGATAGACCACAATATGCGCCATATAGCACACCTCAGCAAATTCAGAAGACTAGAAATAATACAAAGTATGGTCTCAGACTACAACGGAATTAAATTAGAAATCAATAACAGAAAGATAGCTGGAAAATCCCAAAATATTTGGAGATTAAACTACACACTTCTAATTAACACACAGGTCAAAGAAGCCTCAAGAAAAAACTTTAAAGTATTTTGAGGGAAATTAAAATGAATATACAACATACATATCAACATTTGTGTAGGGGGCTAGACCCTGTGGCCGAGTAATTTCGAGCACTCCGCTTTGGCAGCCCAGAGTTTCACCGGTTTGGACCCTGGGCACGGACACGGCACTACTCATCAAGCCATGCTGAGGCGGCGTCCCACACGCCACAACTAGAAGGACCCACAACTAAAAATACACAACTATGTACCGGGGCCTTTGGGGAGAAAATGGAAAAATAAAATCTTTAAAAAAACAAAACTTGTGGGATGCAGCAAAACAACGCTTAGAGGGAAACCTATAGCATTAAATGTATACACTGTATTAGGAAAGGAGAGGTGTTTCCGAGTTGGTGAGCACGTGCAGGTTCAGCAATAGTGGAGCTCGCAGAGGGCATGGGAACTCCGCGCCCCTTCCCATATACCTTGCCCTATGCATCTCTTCCATCTGTTTCTGAATTACATCATCTAATAATAAACTGGGACTCTACTAAGAAGCCAGTCACAAAAGACCACATCTTATATGATTCAATTTATAAGAAATATCCAGCATAGGTCAATCTATAGAGACAGAAGGCAGCTGCTTAGGGCTGAGGGTGATGAAGGTATTACGGTGATAGCTAAAGGGTACAGGGTTTCTTTTTGAGGTGATGAAAATGTTCTAAAAATTAATTATAGTGATGGTTACCTATATGAACCACCAACGGTTCATTATGAATTTCAATGAACTAAAAGTCATTGAATTGTAAACTTTAAATGGGACAGTTATATGGTATGTGAATTGTATCTTACGAAAGCTGTTTAATGCCACTGGCCCAGTGGTGCAGCGGTGAACTGCGCACCTTCCACTTCGGCGGCCCAGGGTTCTCTGGTTCGGATCCTGGGTCCAGACATGGCACCACTTAGCAAAAGCCATGCTGTGGCAGGTGTCCCACATATAAAGTATAGGAAGACGGGCATGAATGTCAGCTCAGGGCCAGTCTTCCTCAGCAAAAAGAGGAGGACTGGCAGTAGTTAGCTCAGGGCTAATGTTCCTCAAAAAAAAAAGTGCTGTTTAAAAAAAAGAAAAACGCCCATATTTTTAGAGAAGCAAACTTAAGTATGGCATGATATTTAGAATATGCTTTAAAATACTTAGGTAAGAGGTAAAAAAAGGGGGGTAATGGGATAGATAAAGCAAATGTGGCAAAATTTTGATCATTTTTGAATCTAGGTAATGAGTATATGGGGGTTCACTATACTATTGCCTACTTAAGCGAGTTTGAAAATTTTCTCTTAAACAAAAAAAGGCAAATAGTTCCAAAACAAAAGACAGAAATTCTACTCTAAACCAGCATCTAATTATTGGATACCTAGCTCTCTTGCCTCTGATACCTTTTAGATACTACAGTTTTCTGAGCAAACTATCACTTTGCCTGCACTATAAAGTAATTTTGCTTTAAACTAGTATTTACAAAGATGAAACTTTTAGATTTAACAAGATTTTTAAATTACTCGCATTTTACCACCTACTATTATTTTGGACCCATTTTTCCAGTCTCTTATTTCACTAAGCACTAATGTAGGCATGTGGTTCCATAAAAATTAGAGTTGAGATCAACAGTGAGGTGAATTACAGCAAAAATTTTCACCAGAAGATACCTGCTGACACAGCACCGATAATTGTCAAAATATATTCTTCCTCTCTCATAGGCTATAGGTGACTTGGAATGAGTAGTCCAAACGTTCTTAAATTTAGTACTTTCCTGAAAGACACAAGGAATTTCAGTTTAGGAAATAACGCATACGCCTCTACTGTGCAACAATTATAGGTGGATAGTTAAATTTACAGTTTTCAAAGTCATTTCACGCACGTTATTTTAAAAAATTATGTTCAATTCTTCCTTACTCTGCCCTCATGTTTTGGTGTAAGTGAGGTGACCGATTTTTAGAAAGATTATTTGCAGGAAGACATAAGAAGCTTAAAACTAAAAGCATCTGACAGTCCTATTAATAGCTATTTACTAATCCCCCCGATTCAGAGCATAGAACCCCCTGCCCAACACGTGATTTTTTAAAGAGGGTTTTCTCGCGTAGAAACTGCACCCCAGCAGGAGGCTTGACCGCCAGGCGCCCCGCTGCCCTTGGTCCCGGTCCCGGCCGGCGGGCGATCACCTGGCACACCAGCGCCCGCAGGATGCCCAGGTTCGTCCTCTGCACCACGCCTGCGTCGCGCGAGAAGAAGCCCAGCGCCCGGTGACTCAGCCGGCGGCACACGTTGGGCTTCCGGGTTGGGCCCATGGAGGCGCGGGCCAGGCGCCGGGTTGGCTGGGCCGAAGAGGGGCGCGCCCCTCACTCCCGCGCGGAGCGGCGGCCGTTACCTCGGAAACCTGGAGGCCCCCAATTCGCTGCGGGGACCAGAAAAAGCTGACACGGGGAGCCGCGCAAGGGGCGCACGGCAGCGCGGCGAGAGAAGGCAGAGCCGGCGCTGCCTCAGCACGAATAGGAAAGGAAAAGATACCAGTCCCGGCCGCCCCCTCAACCGCTCTCCGTCTCTGCACCCGACTGCGGACAGTGCGACGCCCCCGGAACGCGCGGCCTGCCGGAGCACTGCTACTGCCGGGAAATGTAGTTCCCAGTGCCCTCTGAGGGAGCTTGGCTTGTTCCCAGAACTACAATTCCCATCAGGCGGCGGGGAGCGAGCACTTGCCCCGGCCCCGCCTCCAACCCGCCGCGGCCCCGCCCCGCCCCACCCCGCCTCCTCTGGCCGCGTGGAGGATGCGTTGTCGGGCTGGCGCGCCTTTCCGGGTCTGCACGAGGTGCCCGGGGAGAACCGTGGGGGCGCTGTGCTGCGGTGTCCTGGTCTGCGTTCTCTGTGCGCGCCCTGCACTCAGGGATCCCTCTTTTGTCGCCCCACTACCCCTTCGCTCCCCCGGGCGCCGAGAGGGGCGCTGTGTCGAGTGCGGCCCCCTCAAAGCATCGTCCTGTGCTAAAGGTACGCCCCGCGACTTTCCCTTCAGTAGCACCTTGGACATTGTGGGTAAGGTTGACAGTTAAGCATTTGGGATCTCTAAACACTGTGCTTTTGTACTATGAGTTAGTGGTGGAAGACGCTGGCACTCCCGCCAAACTAGGGTTGAATTAACTCTTTCCCAGAGGACTGCCCTTCTTTGGCCTGCGAAGACTGGTTTTGCAACAATTGCTGCATTTTCCTTCCTCTCACCTCCTTTGTTTGTCTCCTTATTGGGAATAAAATATGAAATGTTTACATTCTTACTGGACTGCCTAAGATATTCCACATTGGTTCCTTTAAGTAAGAGATAACTTTGTTAACTAACCCTGCCTGTAGGGTCAAAGTTCCATCACACCACATTTTCAGTAATCAACCGCCAGATGTGTCCCGTTGCTTTGCTTCTAAGTCCCTTGAGGGTGGTGTCTTTGCATCTCCCACGTGGGCTTTGCGAGCCACTTCTTGTTCAATATGTGCTCAAAGGAGTGATTGTATCTGACTGACAAAGCAAAACGTACGATACTGGGTGAATGCATTGGGTCACAATTGAAGTGTTTAGTAAAAATATGCCATATCTTTTTTTAACCCTGCTGAATTTCCTTCAGGGCCTGGGCTTTTGCTGATTTTTCATGACTTATTTACAGCATACTGTGGAGTGCTTTGTATATTTTTAGAGAGTGCTATAATAGTTAATTTGGTAATTCATGAATGCAGCTGTCACTGAGAAAACTGGGACCCAGAAAAGATAACTGGATTTTCTTTGGCTGAAATGAAATTCAAATCATTGCTGAATTGAATTCATCATCTCTCTTTTCTTCTTCCCCTTCACACCCACTTGTTTGTCTTCCTGTGGCCTTTATCTCACCACCAAGTCACCCAAGGAGCACTCATCCTGAATGCCCTCCTTTCCCTCGCCCACAACCAAGTCCTTTTGATTCTCTTGTCCATCTCCTCTTCATATCCCCTGCATGATTAGGGCCTCACCATGTATTTTATCACATTCTGATATTAAGTAGCCTCCTTTCTGCCTTACTTAAATACTTTAAGTTCCAGCCCTCCACATGCTGCCAGAGTGATTTTTCTAAAGCAGTAATCCGTCATTTCCCTGTTCAAACCTTCCAGTGGCTCCCAGTCACCCAGAGCAGAAGTTCTCAAACCCGAGTACATACTCAGAATTCTCTATTGTTAACTTAAAATAGTTTCAGTATGTTAAATACATGCAAATATAAAATTATATATAAACTCCGTATGTTGTATCTTTTATACAACTATAGCTCCCAAACAGTTATAAGTTAAATTAAGCAAAACTATAAAAGAAATAAGTTCAAATAAATACTGATTCATTGTTACCAATGAGACTGTTTTTACTGGACCTAACACATTCTGAAAGCAAATGTTCACTGTCCTCCATGGCGTAACTTCCTTACAGAAAGGCCTGTCCATATCATCCTTGTGTTGAGAGATTGCCCAATGTCCTCACCTCTTTTCTTAGACCACAGCGAAACCATCATTTCACCAACAACATCACTTACATAAAGGAATCCCCATTTCTCATTAACCTGTGCCAATCAAAATGGTACCACTTGTTTGCCAGTGCACTCCCAAACACAAACGTGCAAACTGAAGTCTTGTGACAGTAATCGATTAAAGGTGGTCATCGAGATCATCCAGAATATCCTTTTGTTAAAATTTTTTCCTATAGATTTTTATCGAATTGAAAATAAAAAGTTTCTCTGAGAGAAATCTCATAGCCTTGAGGCTACATGTACGAATCCGTAGGGGTCTGTGGAGGTGCCTTATAGGACAAAATCTGAATTCCTGAGTGTAGTATACAGGCCATCTATTATCTGCATCTTGTCCACATTTTCAGCTTCATCTCTTTGTCCAGCCTTCACATTTGCTCTTATGCTTCTGACGTGTTGCTCACTTGCTCAAGCCAATGTGCCTTTACCTTTCAGATTTTTTTGTTGTTTGGAGCTCCTTCCTCTCCTCTTATCCATTTATCTCAAGACATCCCAGGTATCACAGCTCCACTCAGACACTTCTCCTAACCATTCCACTTTAGTTATAGCCTTGCCTCTTCAACTTGTTACTCTGCATATTGCTTGTGGCACTGTATTAGAATTGTCATTTGTCTGTCTTCCCAACATATTGTTTTTAGAGTAGTCCATTCATTCATTCAACATACATATGCATGAACCACATTTTTAGGCAGTGTACTAAGGATGCATATGTTTGTTGAATGAATGGGCTACTCTAAAAACAATGTTTGTATAAAATCTATTATTAGCAACTAAGTACTTTTAACATAGATTCAGATTTATTCTCCCTTTATTCTTTAAGTCAGCAGGAAACTACAACATTAATAAGAAGAAATAACTTTTCAAAAACTTAAATCCTCAACAGTTCTACGTATAAGGTAGATATTTGCCATTTGTTGAAGGTAAAATGGCATGAACAGATATTCCTAGTTTAGGATTTGGAAGTGACTTCTCTTAATTTGGGACATAGAACAAACACTGATTCTTTGTTTTTTTCAGACTGTGTCTCTGTGATGTTTACAGTATAATTAACCATCTTTGCCATGATATTTTAAAGACAAGGAAGAGGAAATATAAATTCAGAAGTTAACAAAATGCTTTTTGTTCATATAGTTTGTTTAAAGAAGCATAGTATAACTGGATAAATATATAAAGCACTCAGGTTATTAAATTTGAACATTTGTTCAGAGACAAAGAAATTTGAACCAAGGCCACAAGAGGTCATTCATTCAACGTGTAATTATTTTCATGTACAATGTGCTGGCAACTCCTTTGGCATAGGGTATAACAGTGAACAGAACAGACAAGGTCTCTACATGTAGGGGGAGATAGACAATAAATACATAGATTTAAAAAATAGCATTTTAGGTAGTAATAAGTGCTGTGAAGAAGATAAAACAGGGTGATGTGCTTGGTAGAGAGTGGTTGGGTGCCCTGCGTGAGCCAGAGTGGTCACGGAAGTCCTCTCTAAAGAGTGGACTTGAGCTGAGTCCTGACTAATGAAGATGAGTCAATCTGCAAAGAACTGGGTTAAGGTAGTCAGGGTAGAAAGATGCTTGAGTGCAGGGTTCCCAAGGCAATAACAACCTTGGCTTACTCTAAAACTGTTAAAAGGCTAGTGTGGCTTTTTAGTGTGCATGAGGGAGATGACCTTGGAGAGGTAGGCTGGAACCAGGTTCTGTCAAGTGTAAGGAATTTTGGATTTTATTCTATTATGATGGGAAGCCATAGGAGGCTTTGAAGAAGGAGAGTGACATGATCTAATTTGTGTTATAAATAAGATCTTTATGGCTGTAGTTGGAGAATGTAGTATAGAAGTGCAAGAATGGAAGCAAGAAGACAGGTGGCCGTTCCATTACCTGGTTGGTCCGGATAAGAGATGATAGTATTTGAAGTGGAGTAGTAGCAGGAGAGATGGAAAGAAGTGAACAGATTCAGGATATTTTTTGGAAGTAGAGTTGACAGGACTTCTAATGTAGTGGATATTAGTGATGAAGAAAAGATTCAAGCAAAATCATGATAAAGCAGAATCAAAAATAAACATCCCCAAACTCCCCAGAACAAATGGAAAACAGGAAACTATTACTTATGTGCTGTCAATGAAACGATGCCTAGATTTTATTAAATGTACACATTAGTATTGTAGACATTAATGCTAAAGAATATTAGGATCTGTTCTGTGGCTGGGGCATGTGGGAAGAGGGAAATAAAATCAGGTCCCAGAAGTAGGCAGGGATGAGAGCATGTGGGACCATGGTAACATAATGGAAAAACCACTAGTGATGTGACATTCTCTTTAAGAGACAGTCCAGGGGGCCTGGCCCAGTGGCACAGCAGTTAAGTTCTCATGTTCCATGCTTCTCAGCGGCCCAGGGTTCGCTGGTTCGGATCCTGGGTGCGCACATGGCACCGCTTGGCAAAAGCCATGCTGTGGTAGGCGTCCCATGTATAAAGTTGAGGAAGATGGGCATAGATTTTAGCTCAGGGCCCGTCTTCCTCAGCAAAAAGAGGAGGATTGGCAGTAGTTAGCTCAGGGCTAATCTTCCTCCAAAAAAAAAAATATATATATATTGAGACAGTTGGGTGCAGCGTCAGGAACGAGAGTGAAATAGACCGGTTAGCAGATAATTGTGGTAGTCCAGGTGAGAGTCACTTTTGGAAATTTATTTTGAAATTATTGAGGCTTTTGACCACAAGTTTGGTTCTTATGTTTCCCTTTCTCTGTAGATTTTAATGATATTTGTCTGAACGTGTAGTGCATTCATGCATATACAAAATCCAGAAAGATTTAGATTTAAAGGATTGATAGTAAAGTTTGCAAACTATTCCTCTTATTTAAAAAATATTTTATGTATTCAAAGAATATGTATAGATAACATAGCATAATGTATACATAATAATTATAAAATGAACACCCATATATCTATCATCAACTTTTAAAAAAACACAACATTACCTAAAACTTTGACATCTCCTATGTGTCCCTCCTAGTTCTCAGATCCCTCTTTCCTCTTTATACAAATAAAATATTCTTAAGTTTTGAGTGTTTTTGAACACCATACAAATTGAATCCTACCATATAAGTGTACTTTTCCACAACTTGCCTATTTTTTCTTCAAAGTACACTTGGCAAAGTACCTGTAGATCATACATTTATTTTTGCTACTACATTATATTTCATTGTATGAGAATTTACTACAGTTTATTTATCCATTTCCTACTGGCTGGACTTTTGTTTCTTCCAGGTTTTTTATTCCTAGAAAAGTGCTGCTATTGACATTCTTAAAACCTGGCTCCTAGTACACATGTTAAACAGTGTATTCGTTTTCTATTACTGTGTAACAAATTACCACAAACTTAGCAGCTTAAACCAACACCCACTTATTATCCCTAATTTTTTTCCTACATGAATAACCGCTTGTCCCAGAACCATTTATTGGAGGG